CACAGTAAAGAATTTATTCCTAAAATCTAAGCCAAATCTCTCCTCTTTTAGTTTAAAACTATTTCTTCTTATCATATCCCTATCTGCCCATGTAAAAAGTTATTCTTCCTCTTTTTTTATAAGCACCATTTAAGTTCTGAAAGGCTTCCTTAAGGTCTCCCAGGACCCTTCTCTCTCTTCCAGGCTGATTAAATTCAGCTCTCAGCCTGTCTTCATAGGAGAGGTGTTCATCCCTCTCATCATCTTTGTGGTCCTTCTCTGGACCCACTCTAAAAGAACCACATCATTGTTGTGCTGAGGACTTCATACCTGGTTGTAGCACTCCAGGTAGGGTCTAACCAGGGCAGAGGAGAGGGGGAGAATCACCTCCCTCCACCTGCTGACCATGCTGCTTTTTTGATGCATCCCAGGAGGTAGTTGGCTGGCTGGGCTTTGAGCACACATCCATGATAAACCCCAAGTCTGTCTCTGTTATGCTGCTCTCAATGCATTTCCCCAGTCTGTACTCAGGCCTGGGATTACCTCAAACTCGGTGCAGCATCTTGCACTTGAATTTGTTGAACTTCATGAGGTTCTCATTAACCAACTTCTCAAGTTTGTCCAGGTGCCTCAGGATGGTTTCCTTTCCTTCTGCTGTGTCAAGTGCACTGCTTAGCTTCATGTCATCTGCAAACTTGCTGAGGGTCCATTTCATCTTACTATTGTCATTGATGAAGGTATAAAAGAGCACCAGTCCTAAAACAGAGCCTTGAGGGAGACCATCACTGGCCTCCATGTGGATGTACAACTTGTTGACACCAACTTCCTGGCTGTGTCCATCCATCCAATTCCTTGAAAAATGAATAATCTTTATATCTCTCCAATTTGGAGTTAATGATGCCGTGTGGGACCCTATCAAAGGCCTTACAGAAGTCTAGGTAGGTGACACCAGTTGGTCTTGGCACCCTTGCCAGCTGTTGCAGTCAGTCCATCTAGAAGACCACCAGATTGGACGGACATGAACATGAATTCTTAGTGATTGCTCTAGACATTAGTACAGAAGGTATGTGTAATTATAAAGTATCTTCCTCTGTCCACAGAGGACTTCTCTCAGTCACTCAGAAGGAAAGTGTTGAAATTACTGTTGGTTTATTGTTTGCAAATGGTTACTTTGCAAAAATTTACTTTTGTCTCTCCACTTCTTTCCTCCATCTCACGTCAGGTGGCAAAGTTGAGTCTTGGGCATGCATAATGCTTACACCACATAATCACTGGTGAAATGGCTGTGTAGGTCATGCAGCATCAATGCACCAACAAAACAGAAAAACAAACACTTACTCATATTTTACTAATGTTTCCCTGTGCTTGCAGGGCTCCAGGCTTTTCACTTCCTTGGTCAAATCAATAGACTTAATATCCATTGAGTCATAGAATCATAGAATAATTTGAGTTGGAGGAGACCCTTAAAGGCCGTCTAGCCCATCCTCCTTGCAATGAACTTAAGACATCTTCAACTCAGTCAGGTTGCTCAGAGCCCCATCCAACCTGACCTGGAACACTTGAGGGACAGGGTGTCTATACCTCTCTGGGCAACCTATTCCAATCTCTGTTTTTGAAAGGCAGTAGCTGGAATACTCTTATGTTCATATTCTGACTGGTAAATGTTAACTTTTCTTGTTACTTGTAGTCTGTATGTGGGGGGAGATGTTTTGTTTTTTGTTTTATTTGGGGGATTTTTTGGTTTGTTGGTTTTTTTTTTTTTTTTTTCAGTTTGAGTAGCTTAATTGGTATTTTTAGAGTACAGGTGTGATACTATTTGTGGTGTTCTTGTTTTAGTTTCTGATGAAACAGCACTAATATTTGGATTTCAGAGGACATAATTTTCCAATGGGGTTATTGATGCTCTCAAGAATGAAGTGCTGTGCTACCTCACATTTTTCAAGATACTGGATTATTTGCATATTAAAACATAAAATTAGTATTGAGCTGGAGAAGTATGAAGGGAAGGAGAGGGGAGTACTAAATGAAAAAAAAATCACATGCCACCAAACACTTTCTAAGAAAAGCATTGCATTTTCATGTGTGGTTTGACGTCTTGGAAGAGAATCTTCTATTTTTGTGGGAGGAATGGGGTTTGCATATATTTTTTCACTTTAACTCACCTTCCCTGGGTGAACTCAAAGGCAAAACTACAGGTGTGTTCCACTCTTTCAGACCAGGAAAAAACCTAAACTTGTGCACCATGCCAGGGACAGCTAGCTAGCACTCAAGTAGGTTTTCTGGGTGACAAGCTGCCACAAAGACAGCATGAAGTGCTGATAGAGACTAAACCAGCATAGGACAAAGAGCCTCTGTGAGGTTCTCTGAAGTCTTTGTGTTGTCAGGACTGTTGTCTGTTCAGAGCACTGCATTTATCCAGACAGGTTCATGTTACACTGGAGTTCTTCCTGTGTTCCTGAGCAGATCTGTGTTCCAGTCACCAGTGTGCTGGACAGGAGTGTTCTCTATGCAGAGATTTCCAAAGGCTGGAAACACCTGGATGATTTGGAAGGCTCACCATGGACTGATCCTGGGATTGGTGTTGGACCTCTGCTGCTGGGTCCCATGAGCAGCATCCCTCATTTGTTATACAATTCCTGAACCTTACAGGCTGGTTTTGGGGGAGCTCTGTACTGGTGAGATGCAGCCAGACTGCCTTGTTTATGAAATAATGGTTTTGGGGTTTTTTGGTTTGGTTTGGTTTTTGGTTT